TATATATCAGTACAGTGATGGAAGGATGAAGCTAGAAGATTCTATAAATCACTGCTGGTCTAGGTTTTGCTAAAAGAAACTATTTCGCTAATACACTATTTTTATTTGTTAAGAATCATTTGGTTAGGTTCCAATGACTTTTTTGCTTTGAAAAAATAAGGAGTAAACCAATGTTCTTGAAAGGGTGGATGATGCTGGTGCAGTAGGGCAAAAACCTGGCAAAAATGAATATGCGTCTGAGTCTCAGCCTGACCCCCTTTCTCCATGCAAACAAGTGCCACTGGCTGCCCAACCTGTTTGGTATTTTGCCTTATTCCCTGGAGTGAAGAAGGTTTGCCAGAGTTATTTAGTGTTAGCTGCCTTCCACAGACTCTTAATCCGTATGTTAACTTGGGCACCAGGAGCAGCATCATGGTAGAAGGTGGCCATTAATTAAATCCTCCATTTAGAAAACGGGGGAATGATGGATATCCTTGAAAGGATGAGCCAGAGAAAGATGATACTGGAGTTGAGTGCTTGTTTGCTTATTTGTTTGTTTTAAGAGATTTATATAGCCACCCATATTGTAATGCAACCCTGTTTATGGGGAGGGCTGGATTGCATTTACCATCCATGAGTAAAGTCTTCATGCCTGAAACTTCATTTTGATTATACTTTGGTTGTGCGAAAGGAGCGATAGAGCCAGGCTTTTGTTGTGGATTCAGCAACGCTTACCAGTTCAGGCAAATTCAGTAGCCAACACTTGAAATATATATAACCCTACAATGAATCTCTGCAGGTGGCACTCTTATCCATGTGGGTAGACTTGCATAGGATTGTAATGCAAATTTATTTACAATGCAATTCTATGCATACCCACTCAGGGGGGGCAAAAAGCCATTGCACTTCCAAATAACTTCATGGTGAGTGCAATATTCAGGGTTAATGTCTTTGGTGTACAACCCATGTCCTTTAAGGAAAAATAGCAAAGAATTGTAACACCTCAAAGACTAACCAATTTATTATCTCATAACTATTGCCACCAATACATTTATCAGGTGCTGTGAACATTTTTGGTGGGGGTGGCGGGAGAACCTGATCCTTTCTCCCATCAACTGTCTGATATAAGATTCCTACTACCTCCTTTCCAGGAAGAAAATGAACCTCAAACAGCTGCCTCCTCTTCCTCCTTTTACATATTTTATTCTCTGCCAGTGCCAAAGTTGGTTAGCTGCAAAGTCTATTGTGTTCCTTTGGCTGTTTATTCATGGCTTGGGGATGAACTATTTAAGGCCCTGATAGAGAAAGATGGGGGAGAGAAAGAGAGAGGGGGAGAGGCAGATAGACAAGCAGAAGAAAAGCTTTAATTTCCATTGACTTTATGTCCAAGCAAACTCAAGCCAGTAGTAGTAAGGGAAGGCTATTGCCTAAATAAAATCTGAAAATCAAAAGTTATAGGTTCCAAAAGGATACACTATTGATATATTGTTGGAAGCGATGGAGCCCTGATATAACTATTAATGGTTTTACAATGACAAACTAATGTCATATCCTCCTTGACTGCAGAAAAAGAAATCTGTCTCTGACTTTCTACTTGGAGCGTGCATGGATTTGATGATTTTAATGCATACTCACATTTATTCTATTAAACCAGTATAAATTACAATGTTATGGAGTTTTGATTGTACAAATGCGGTGCATCTATTTTGGTTAGATGTGGTACACCTATTTTGCATGGGAAGGACTCTGGAACTTCCAGGTAGGGCTGGGAAAGATCCTTGCCTTGGTCCAGCTTTGTGCCCACCCCCATTATTCCCAGAAATAAGAGCAATGCTGGCTAGGAATGCAAAAATGGTTGTAATCCAGCACATCTGGAGGGCATGGGGCTATGGAATTACTCTAGCAGGACACTGACAGCTTTCCTCAGCCTCACATCCTTCAGAAACATTAGAGAACAAATCCTGAAAATTCCAGCCAATAGTGACTGATTAATAGAGGACATCAAGTTGAAGAAAACAAGCAAATTGTCTTCTGTACATTTTGCAATAGAACACATGTCTAGGGAATATAATCTTTTTGCACCATTTCCTTACAACATGAATTTAAACAGTTACATTTTTTGTATTTGTTATTTTTTTCAGCCATACTGCAGTACAATGTACTGTATTATCTTATATGTTACACTGTCTGTGAATGGTAAAATGAATCATCATTCTCCCTGCATAAAATTCATTATCTATTTGAAACCTGAAAAGCCATCCTAATTACTTGCAGTGTGTATATATTCAAATAGAAAGCACAAAACCAGGGGACCATGAGTTCTCATCCCGCCTTGGGCATGAAAGCCAGCTGGGTGACTTTGGGCCAGTCACTCTTTCTCAGCTCAACTCACCTCACAGGGTTGTTGTTGTGGGAAAAATAGGAGGAGGAGGAAGGAGTATGAGGCATGTTCGCCACCTTGAGCTATTCATAAAAATAATAAAGGCAGGATAAAAAAATCTAAATTTTTCTTTCCTTCAGCTGATTGGAAAGGAAAATAGAAAAAACATATTCTTGCTTCTATTTACTGTATCTTCATACAACACACTCCTGGTTATCAAATTAATCCTTTTCTGGGTTCACAGAAGACACTGGATCATAGACAAAACCATTGGATTGGGACATATTAAGAGAAAGGCAAGGCAAGGCAAGGCCAGGCCAGGCCAGGCAAACATAATATACTGTAAGAATGCAGACTCCATGACTTTAAGCAATCTGGTTAAGCATCTCGTGCACCCTCAGCCTATCTGTCTAAGAAGCTGATGACCGCTATCTTCCTCTTACAGGTAGGGAGCCTAGTCTGGGATCAAATGCTCTGTAGCCACCCTAAGTCTACTCATAAGAATAACCATCCATTTCAAAGGGTAGTTGTGTTAATCTTTGGCAAGAAAAATAACAGTTTGGGGGCACTTTAAAGGCAAACAAATGAATTGTCACAGCAACTGCACACCATTGAGTTTAATGGGGCTTACTTCTAGGTTACCATGCACTCCAGCCTAATTATAGCCTAAATTGTTTGTTGAAATGCCCTTCCCCCCCCCCCCCTCCCCCCCCCCCCCCCCCTCTGGTCTTTAAGGCAGAGGTAAATAATTTTAACACTTGTGGCAGCCAGCCAGAACAGCAAGGCAGGCAACAAATAGATGTTGTTGGATGTTGCCTCTTCTGCATGCCAAATTCATTTTAAAATTAGAAACCTACAAGCCAGCATCCACTTGCTGTTTCAGCCTCAAAACATGATGCATTCTGCCTGGCACTTTAAAGGCAGCAAAGACTCTACTTCAGAAGCAAGCATTTGGAACTTGCAGGGCTGCTGTCATTTTAAAGTGGTTTTTAGTTTTAATTTCAGTGATTTTTACCTTTCAGTTGGTTTAGGCATTGTGAGTTTAAATGAATTGTTAGGAATTATGTTTGATCTGTTTGTGAATCACCCAAAACCTTGTGAATTTGGAGGCAGAGGATATAAATCTTGTAATAAACATTGAAATAAATCATTGCCTGCCAAGTGAATCCCTTCATTTACATCTGGAGCTTTTCATGGAGGAGTATGCTTAAATAGTATGCCAAGTGCCAAACAAGAGTGAAAGTACAAGGAGAAGGTGTGTTAGGATACTTACAGTGGTATTATCTTTGTCTTTTTGCACCCACCTATTTTGGTGTATTTAGGCCTTTGTGTGTGTGTGTGTGTGTGTGTAATGACGATTCCTTTTGCCCACAGTCTTCTCTGAACACTACTGTAATGGTAATATTGTATAGAAATGGAATAAGCCCTAGTTTATTCAGTCACTCCCCCATCTTCTCACCAAGGACAAATCTGAATTTGGGTCCCCGCCTGGATTTGGCCCACCTCTTTGACTTCTTGTGCCATTCATCAGAAAGCTCATTCATGCTAGAATACTGCAATAGGGAAGGTGAAGACATGAAAAACGTTTTGGTTGTGGGGAGGGATAAACCACTGAACTCTTCTCCTCAGGGTTTGTTTTTTTTTGGTTAGATTTCTACCCTGCCTTTCTCCCAGGAGCTTAAGGAGATACACTGTGTTACCTCCAGGGCCACCAACCTATGGTTGGGTTGAGGGAGGATGACTGGTCAAAAGTCATTTATACTTTATTGCTTTCTGAGTGAGGTATAAAGAGGGCAAAGGGGAATAAATGTGTACTGTATTTCTGGTTTTTTCCCCCCTTGTTTCCCCCCCCCCCCCCCCT